GAATCATTGTCTGCCACATTCAAAGTAACAAATTTTTGTATAGTTATTAAGTGCATTACGAGACGATTGGTATTTTTTATACAGGGTGGTCCAAACTATATTCCGGAAACTTCGGCAGCATATTCTGCAGATAAAAAAAGTAAAAAAGTTCGTATAAATGTATGTCCTAAAATGTTTAATTTCGGAGATACAGGGTGTAGAAGTGAGGTTTGGTAATGCCACGAGTTTCCGAATAATTTCTGAAGTAACGTCAATATTTGAATGAAAATTGGTGTCTGGTTTTTTGACATGAGAAATTTGATTTTGATGTCAATATGACTACCAATGATTACTGATTTCTTTCGAAAATCGACATCTATGAAACTATGAACCCTTCCTGGACACAAACGGAAATTGTAGAGAGAAACAAGCCCTATAATATAGGATACAACATTTTAATGAACAGTGCTTTCCATATAATCAATAAAATGAAAAATATACGAAATAATATACATGTACTGATTTCTTTCGAAAATCGACATCTATGAAACTATGAACCCTTCCTGGACACAAACGGTACGTTGTGAGACAGAAAATTGTAGAGAGCAACAAGCCCTATAACATAGGATACAACATTTTAATGAACAGTGCTTTCCATATAATCAATAAAATGAAAAATATACGAAATAATAATGAACAGTGCTTTCCATATAATCAATAAAATGAAAAATATACGAAATAATATACATGTACTGATTTCTTTCGAAAATCGACATCTATGAAACTATGAACCCTTTCTGGACACAAACGGTACATTGTGAGACAGGAAATTGTAGAGAGAAACAAGCCCTATAACATCGTATACAACAAATTTAATGAACATTGCTTTCCATATAATCAATAAAATGAAAAATATACGAAATAATATACATGTACTGATTTCTTTCAAAAATCGACAACTATGAAACTATGATCCCTTCCCGGACACAAAAGGTACATTGTGAGACAGGAAATTGTAGAGCGAAACAAGCCCTATAACATAGGATACAACATTTTAATGAACAGTGCTTTCCATAAAATCAATAAAATGAAAAATATAGGAAATAAAATAAATGTACTGATTTCTTTCGAAAATCGACAACTATGAAACTATGAACCCTTCCCGGACACAAACGGTACATTGTGAGACAGGAAATTGTAGAGAGAAACAAGCCCTATAACATAGGATACAACATTTTAATGAACAGTGCTTTCCATAAAATCAATAAAATGAAAAATATACGAAATAAAATAAATGTACTGATTTCTTTCGAAAATCGACAACTATGAAACTATATAAAATATACGAAATAATATACATGTACTGATAATATGACTCCGATTTGTAGGTGGCGTCACCTACATGTGTTTGAACTATTTTGAAGAGTAATAACTTTTCGTCCGTATCTGTATAAAACTACTGAGAGAAAAAATATACATCTCCGTGACTTTTTACGTAAAAAATGCCTTTTGGTAAAAATCGCTACGAGCAACCGTTCTCAAGATATTTAGAATTTAAATGGTCAATACATGTCATTATTGACAAAAAAATAAACACGTTGAGTAGATAGTTATTTGACTGAAAAAATAAATCTGAGAAATTTTTATTTTTTTAAATTAATCATAAATTTTTCTGCGAAATAAAAAAAAAATAATGATAAAACAGTGTCTATAGAACTTTTGACACAAAAACATTTCAAATTCATGATTTCAGTCTAATAACTATTTAGTCAACATGTTTAATTTATGTCAATGATGATTTTTCAAAACAGTTAAAGCACATGTAAGTGGCGCCCCCTACATATAAAAGTCATATTGACATCAAAATCAAATTTCTCATGTCAAAAAACACTCAGACACTAATTTTCATCCAAATATTGACGTTACTTCAGAATTTATTTGCAAAAAATCGAAATAAAAATGAAATTTCTACACCCTGTATCTCCAAAACTAAGCATTTTAGGATATACATTTATACAAACTTTTTTACTTATTTTAATGTGCAGAATATGCTACCGAAGTTTCCGGAATACAATTCGGACCACCCTGTATTTTAAGGTTTTAGATGAGGGATGGTTTTTGCTACTTACACATGGTCATATTGATGTCTGGCACTGCAAACAATGGTTCAGCGTGAATGTGATCACTATCACTTCCTTTATTAACTTCATTTGAATTTTGACACGATTCACAGTTCACATTGATTTTAAAATGATCATGCTCCATTATATCTCTTCGATTTCTGGACACTGTAGAATTACCTCCACTTTCAATAGTTGAATTGAATCCTGTTACATCTCTGGAAAATCTCTTAGTCGAATCGTTTTCAGTGACATTTACTAGCGTTTCATTGTTGTCCAGGTTTACATCGTTGGACACTTCATTTTTAAATCGATGCCAAATATTATCAGAAGAGTTTTTTGATTTGTTAGGTATTTTCCGGCTAACAAATATATACTCGATACTGCGAGTTTTAACTTTACTTGTCTTTGGTTTGACTAAAGTTGAGTTTACGTTAGTCCCCGAGGTCGCGTTATGTTGGTGAGCATTATTCGCTGTCTTGTTTTCCTTAACTGGAGTACCTCTAACAACTCTCACTTGTAGATTTCCCTCTTCAGTGCTGTTTAAATCGTTGTTCTCGCTCTCATAAACCGCCTCGCGAAATTGCAAGTTCTTGTCAGTTTTCAACCTAATCATTTCCCTCAAAATCGTCGAGTTGGCCGTGTTTTCGAACACTGAATTGTCTCCGGGTTCACCAATAATAACGATTCTACGTTTGTTTTTCGAGCATTCATCGTTTTTTGAGTGTACAGTGTTGCACAATTTACAGTGTATTAATATTTCGTTTTCTTTGACATCTCTGGAAGTTAGATTTTTATTTTGACTGGCGTTTGAAGCATTTTTATCTGCCTCTAATTTATCTTCGTCCTCAGCAAGAGATAGTACTTCAGCATAACTCCTTTTAGTAAGATATTTAAGTGCAACTTTAGAAGTTATGTTGGCGTTAGTTACAAAACTTCTGTAATTAATTGTTTTTGGCTTGCCTGTTTTTAATTTGTCTACTCCCCCAGCAACAGGCAGTACTTTAATCTTAGCCATTTCCATGAGATATTTAAGCATATCTTCAGAAGTTATGTTGAATTTGGAAGGACTAGAGGTTTCACTGTTGGAACCTTCTAATGTTTTATTGAAGCGTTTCGCTAGGATGGCTTTGATGACTTTCTCCTTTTCAGCGTTTCCTTTGACATCTCTGGTGGTAAGACTTTTATTTTGACTGGTGTTTGAAGTATTTTTATTTGCTTCTAGTTTGTTTTGGCCCTCAGCAAGAGGCAGTGCTTTAACCTTACCCGTTTTTTTCAAATAGTTAAATATATCTTCAGCAGTTATATTGAAGTTTGAAGGATTAGGGGTTTCACTGTTGGAACCTTCTAATGTTTTATTGAAGCGTTTTGCTAGGATGGCTTTGATGGCTTTCTCCTTTTCAGGGTTTTCTTTGACATCTCTGGTGGTAAGACTTTTATTTTGACTGGTGTTTGAAGTATTTTTATTTGCTTCTAGTTTGTTTTGGCCCTCAGCAAGAGGCAGTGCTTTAACCTTACCCGTTTTTTTCAAATAATTAAATATATCTTCAGCAGTTATATTGAAGTTTGAAGGATTAGGGGTTTCACTGTTGGAACCTTCTAATGTTTTATTGAAGCGTTTTGCTAGGATGGCTTTGATGGCTTTCTCCTTTTCAGCGTTTTCTTTGACATCTCTGGTGGTAAGACTTTTATTTTGACTGGTGTTTGAAGTATCCTTATCTGTTTCTAGTTTGTCTTGGACCTCAGCAAGAGGCAGTGCTTTAACCTTACCCGTTTTTTTCAAATAGTTAAATATATCTTCAGCAGTTATATTGAAGTTTGAAGGATTAGGGGTTTCACTGTTGGAACCTTCTAATGTTTTATTGAAGCGTTTTGCTAGGATGGCTTTGATGGCTTTCTCCTTTTCAGGGTTTTCTTTGACAGCTCTGGTGGTAAGACTTTTATTTTGATTGATGTTTGAAGTATTTTTATCTGCTTCTAGTTTTTCTTGGCCCTCAGCAAGAGGCAGTGCTTTAACCTTACCCGTTTTTTTCAAATAGTTAAATATATCTTCAGCAGTTATATTGAAGTTTGAAGGATTAGGGGTTTCACTGTTGGAACCTTCTAATGTTTTATTGAAGCGTTTTGCTAGGATGGCTTTGATGGCTTTCTCCTTTTCAGCGTTTTCTTTGACATCTCTGGTGGTAAGACTTTTATTTTGACTGGCGTTTGAAGTATCCTTATCTGTTTCTAGTTTGTCTTGGACTTCAGCAAGAGGCAGTGCCTTAACCTTACCCGTTTTTTTCAAATAGTTAAATATATCTTCAGCAGTTATATTGAAGTTTGAAGGATTAGGGGTTTCACTATTGGAACCTTCTAATGTCTTATTGAAGCGTTTTGCAAGGATGGCTTTGATTGCTTTCTCCTTTTCGGCATTTTCTTGGACATCTCTAGTGGTAAGACTTTTATTTTGACTGGTGCTTGAAGCATTTTCATCTCCATCTGATTTGTCTTCGTTTTCAGCAAGAGAAATAACTTCAGCATAACCTCTTCTAGTTAGATATTTAAGTGCATCTTTGGAACTCTTTACTTTAGTTAAAACACTTCTGTTTTGGTCTGTGTCTGAGGAATTTGAAAGTTGAGATTCATCAAGTACTTCCGATTTGTCAGAAGTTAAATGGGTTTCAGTTAGAGAACTTCTGCTTTGACTTGTGTTTGAAGCATTTTTATCTGCATCTGATTTGTCTTTGTTTTCAGCAAGAGAAATAACTTCAGCATAACCTCTTCTAGTTAGATATTTAAGTGCATCTTTGGAACTCTTGATTTTAGTTAAAACACTTCTGGTTTGGCCTGTGTCTGAGGAATTTGAAAGTTGAGATTCATCATCAAGTACTTCCGATTTGTCAGAAGTTAAATGGGTTTTCAGTTAGAGAACTTCTGCTTTGACTTGTGTTTGAAGCATTTTTATCTGCATCTGATTTGTCTTCGTTTTCAGCAAGAGAAATAACTTCAGCATAACCTCTTCTAGTTAGATATTTAAGTGCATCTTTGGAACTCTTGATTTTAGTTAAAACACTTCTGGTTTGGCCTGTGTCTGAGGAATTTGAAAGTTGAGATTCATCATCAAGTACTTCCGATTTGTCAGAAGTTAAATGGGTTTCAGTTAGAGAACTTCTGCTTTGACTTGTGTTTGAAGCATTTTTATCTGCATCTGATTTGTCTTCATTTTCAGCAAGAGAAATTACTTCAGCATAACCCTTCTAGTTAGATATTTAAGTGCATCTTTGGAACTCTTGATTTTAGTTAAAACACTTCTGGTTTGGCCTGTGTCTGAGGAATTTGAAAGTTGAGATTCATCATCAAGTACTTCCGATTTGTCAGAAGTTAAATGGGTTTCAGTTAGAGAACTTCTGCTTTGACTTGTGTTTGAAGCATTTTTATCTGCATCTGATTTGTCTTCGTTTTCAGCAAGAGAAATAACTTCAGCATAACCTCTTCTAGTTAGATATTTAAGTGCATCTTTGGAACTCTTGATTTTAGTTAAAACACTTCTGGTTTGGCCTGTGTCTGAGGAATTTGAAAGTTGAGATTCATCATCAAGTACTTCCGATTTGTCAGAAGTTAAATTGGTTTTAGTTAGAGAACTTCTGCTTTGACTGGCGTTTGAAGCATTTTTATCTGCATCTGATTTATCTTCATTTTCAGCAAGAGGAATTACTTCAGCATAGCCCCTTCTAGTTAGATATTTAAGTGCATCTTTGGAACTCTTGATTTTAGTTAAAACACTTCTGTTTTGGTCTGTGTCTGAGGAATTTGAAAGTTGAGATTCATCATCAAGTACTTCCGATTTGTCAGAAGTTAAATTGGTTTTAGTTAGAGAACTTCTGCTTTGACTTGTGTTTGAAGCATTTTTATCTGCATCTGATTTGTCTTCGTTTTCAGCAAGAGAAACTACTTCAGCATAGCCCCTTCTAGTTAGATATTTAAGTGCATCTTTGGAACTCTTGATTTTAGTCATAAAACTTCTGTTTTGGTCTGTGTCTGAGGAATTTGAAAGCTGAGATTCATCATCAAGTACTTCCGATTTGTCAGAAGTTAAATTGGTTTTAGTTAGAAAACTTCTGCTTTGACTGGTGTTTGAAGCATATTTATCTGCATCTGATTTATTTTCATTTTCAGCAAGAGGAATTACTTCAGCATAACCCCTTATAGTTAGATATTTAAGTGCATCTTTGGAATTTTTGACTTTAGTTAAAATATTTCTGTTTTGGTCTGTGTCTGAGGAATTTGAAAGTTGAGATTCATCATTAAGTACTTCCGATTTGTCTTCGTTCTGAGTAAGAGGCAGTACCACAACGTAACCCTTTTCAAACATATAATCCCATACTTCATCAGAAGTTAGATTGTTGTTTGGTAAAGTTCTCGGGCTTTTTACATTGCTCGCAGTTTTATCTGATGTTTGTAATGGAATACCGCTGTAACAAAAAAACTTTTGTAAAAAAAAGAAAATTTATAATTCCAGTTTAGAGAATCTACATTCACCGGTACGAAAAACGGGCACCTTAAAATTTTGATGTATTTTAAAGTTTTATATATAGTGTTCTAGTGGACCGATTTTGATAAACCTTTAAGCAATTTGTAGCTTAATTACTTGACTTTTTTGTATCTCTTTCTAAATTACAAATGAAAGTTCCCAACTGTCAATTATTCGAGGGAACACAAAATGTTGTTATTTTGCTAAAAGTTTGGAACACCCTGTGGAATATAATAAAAAACAAAGAATTTGAAGATCGTTTTATCATCTAGGTGTATCTTTTCTGGATAGTTTATTTTTTGGTTCATCTCAGTAGCATCATTTTTTTAGGAGATATTCGCTTTTTAAGACACTTGCACACATATTTTTTTGTAATTTTTACATCTAAATCTCGCCTTTGCTTTTGGTCCCAGTCAACAGACCTATGAAATATTGTTTTTGATTTGCCTAATGTCACTGTTATTAAATGAGGAAAAAATTGCAGTTTCGTGAGGTCAAAAATATGCGCCTCTCAGATTTTTGTAAGAGTTTATGGCCTATTAGACATTTAAAAAAAAACAATTTTCGGCTATTTTCAAAATGCTCCCTAATTCCATCATAATCTATTTTAGACAAAAAGTTTTCAGATAAAAGTTGTAGATAAACACAGCCTTAATGAGATTGTGTTCTCTGTTTTTTTTCTAATATCTGTCATATTTGACATATGACACAAAAATATGTTTTTTTAAATGCTATAGTTGGCTATGGCTTCATAAAAAGCGTAATTTTTAAAGCTTTCCAGCGATATAATATGTTGTTTTTTTTTCGAAAAATTACTGAGTTACAGCCAATTGTTTTCTGTTTTTGACTAATTTCACTTAGTTGGTATGGTATTCTTATTTTATTATGTTTGTAACTTATAAAAAGACAAAATATTTTACTAAACGGTTCTATAAAATTTATCTATACGAATATATAAAATCCTTAAGTGACTGACTCACTGATTAATCACGATCTTGCTCAAACCACTCAACGTAAGAAGCTCAATTTTGGCATACAGGTTGATTCTAGGATGTAGAGGTTCGATAAAAAAGGATTTTTCGAAATTCCGGTTCCAAGGGGGTGAAACCACCCCTCAAATATAACAATATTTTTTTATTTAAAAAACGGCCAAGTTTCCGAAAAAACGCGTAAGCACGTATATTTTATTTTGTTTTTTTTTACATATTTTAAGATTTTTTAAAAATTCATACAGGGTGTTTATAAAATATGACCATTTAGTAATCACGATTCTGCTTAAACTGCTTGACGTTTAAAGCTGATTTTTGGTAAACGGATTGACTGTGGGGTTTGGTTTGGTTCGGTTTTCCAAGAGGTTGAAAACGCCACTCAAATATTACAATATTTGTTATTTAAAAAACGGTTAGTCTTTCGGGAAAACGCTTGGACACGCATAATTTATTTTATTTTTTTACATATTTTGATTTTTTTTAAAAATCATACAGGGTGTTCCAAAAAGTTGGGTAATTGATTAACCACGCTTAAAGTGCTTGACGTAAAAAGCTTATTTTTGGCAAACGGATTTTTCGAAAATCAAATTCCAACGAGATGAAACTACCCCTCAAATATTACCAAGTTTTCTATATAATTTCATAAATGTGAGAAAATTTTATCCAGTTTGTATGTTAATGGAAATTCTTGCTTTGCTTTATCATCACCATTACAAATGATTAATTCGAGTCGAACGAAGTCGCGGGTACACGCTAGTATTAAATAAATTAAAAAACTACTTACTTAAAAAACTAGTATGACTACATACACTTTAAGTTATTTTAGCAAATGGTCAAAAAATCCGCCACTGTTTTGAGTATGTAGCATCTTTTTAATAGTGAATTGCAAGCTTTTCTCACAGAAGAAATAACCTGTGCAATTATTTCGTCAGCAAACTTTTCTAAAATATTATTTTTCTGTCAGAATCATGTTTCCTGAGCATTTTGTTTTTTGTCTCATATCAACAAATGCCTTGGTTAATGTTTAAGAGCGAAATGAAAATGCTACCACAGATCATACAGATTATAAACTTTGTTTTTTCTTTATAGTTTTTCGTGGTTCCAATTTTCGGAATCGGGCACTAGTTAGGTTACTAGTTTGCGCACATAGCACGCCCACTTATGGCCTCTAAAATTGTGCACAGCGCCTGACCGGCACAGTTATTAGAAAGATATCGGAAAGCCGAATAGCGTCATGCAGTAATTACGCGTAACTTATCACGGTTACGATATGCGCGAGTCAATTTTTAACGCAACACCCGCTAATAACATTACCGCCTGACGTAGTTTGCGGATTAAGTAGACCAAGCGCTATTTCTAAATAACGTTTAAAAATTGCTTAAATGGGCATGTGCGGTGCATTTGACAACCGGAGCCGGCCGGCGAGCGGCGAGATCTTTTATTTTAGGTTATGTTTGAATTGTTTTGAATTATTACTTTAGTTTTATTAAGTAATTTGATATTTAAGTAGCTGGGATTAGTTTTAATTAAATAAATATGGCCCAAAATATGGATTCCACCTCTTCCAATATTAAAGAACCTATAAAGAGGCTTGGTTTACAGCAGATGACGACTTAGCCCTTCTAAGAAAATTTGGTGGTTGTTGCCCTAAACCCACTGGCAGACGTTGAACAATGAAGCACTGGAAATAAGCACTTTAGCCCTTTAGTTTTAAAATACCTAGCAAACAAAACAATTTCAAAGTTTTAAATTCAAAGTTAGATTAAGTTTAAATAGCGGACGCGACGCGAACAGAATTCTTTCCGATCCGATATCTATAAATGAAGAGAGTTAATACCACCTCACGTAAAAGAAATAACACCTGGCCTTATTAACGTCCATGCACGCTATTCGGTTGAGCGATATCTCTCTATTACGCTGTTTATTGTTATTTTACGCGAGTTTATTTTTGCGCACAGGAAATTTTACTCGTTTGCTCATCGTCATAAAAAACAATTTTCGTACCACGAATTAGGGATAAGATTTTTATCTGTACACATATAGTATACCTAATCTGTGATGCTACCAACAATTTGCAATTTATTACTTTTTGATAATATTTTTCAATATGATGTATTAACAGGATCCAAAAATCAAAATCAAAAAGGAAACATGGTTCTGACCGAAAAATAATGTTTTAGCAATATTTTCTCAAGAAATTATTGCACAGGGTGTTTTAAAGTTAGGGTAGGTTAGGTTAGGTTATAAATTTTTTTTAAACAAATAGCAAAAACTCACAACAGTATTTCCTTCACGATGCTATGACAGAATACAGAAAACTCAACCAGTCGTTGTAATGTGGACACAACTTGGTCGGTACGTTTTACCTGCAACGTTTTGTCTGCGCAAGCAAAACGTCACGTGTGGACCACCCCTTAACTCGTTTTTATTTATTTAATTTAAATTTCTATTCCTAAAAGAACCAAATAATTTATTACATTCTTTTTTAAATAAAGAAGTAACTCTACTTAAAATCTAAAGAACTTTTTATTTGTTTTTAGTAGACGTCAGTGTTATAGTTTAAGCTGTTTGAGTTTTGAACGACTTCGTAACTCTATAAAAATCTGTCCGTTGAAATCATCAAACTTTTCAAGCTCTAAAACGAGATAAATCTTTGAAATAAATGCTTAAATCTTTAATAGTTTTTTTTTATAGAATTAATCAAAATACGTGCATCCACATTTACCAAAAGGAATATAAAAAATACGTTCAATGGCTGGGAAGTCTGGGAAATAAACGAAAAGATAAAAACCCCTTTAAAAAAAATAAAAATTAAAAACCCATTTTTTTTTCTAAAATCTTCTCGGACTCATTTTTTATAATAATCTTTATGTTCATTTGTAAAACTTGGAAAATAAGTTCGTCATAATAATGCTTTTATTTATTCACTATTCTAATAAAGAATATGCATTCCTTCGGAAACTCTCTATTTATTTATCTAGTAATGCTAAAACACTCTATTTTAAAGTCGATTAGAGAAAATAGTATGATTCATTGGCAAGTAATGTAAATATTTACGATCCAGTAAAATTGTGATGTAAGAGGAGGCTTAGCTTGCCTGAGGCGAGTTAGTTGTTGATAGGCCGGCAGGCTGTTATGTTGTGTTTTGTCATAGAGCTGATATTTGGGGGTTGAGAGTCTTTTGACTATAAGCGTTGCAAGTACTGTAAGGCAACGGGTCGTTTGACCGGAAGAAAACCTCTGGTGACGTCTTTTCTTCGAGGTTGGTCTTGAGAGTTTGAGGTCTCCCCATAAAATAATTAACTAGAAAGAAGTGTCAACTCTGTGTTAAATCGTGGAAACACGATACGCCACCGAAAGCCTTCGTTGTCGTCTGGAGAACTAATTTTTCAATTGACAGGTTGACATGATGGCTTCGTATTTATTTCCGTTTCCGGTTATTCAATGGCGGGCCCTCTTTCAGTTTAAATGTATTTTGTACTCTTTCTTATCATAAATAAAACAAAACAAAATTTTATTCAAACATATCTAAAGGAAATATATTTTGAAATATGAGACAACGTGATAAATATATATATATATATATATATATATATATATATATATATATATATATATATATATATATATATATATATATATATATATATATATATATATATATATATATATATATATATATATAAAATAAAGAATTGAATGATTTCTACAGCAATTACTTAATTATATGCAATTTTAACGTAAATTAGTAAGGTATAAGCATGACTTACAGTAATTTGTAAATAAATACACGTATTCACAGCCATCAGGGACAGAAAACGGGGGCAGGGACATGAAAACCGGAGCCTTATACAAAAACCTGAAAACAGAAAAACAAATTTTTTTATACTAAAGTTAACAATGTAAAAATATCAATAGGTATAAAATATAAATATACTGTTAAAAAAAGCGTCCATTATTCCCAAAGAGACCTGGTTTATAAATCAAAAAGAAGCAAAAAGAGACTTTTAGTCGGATAACAATCAGATTGTATCAGTCAGATTTATTGCATTACTGACAATAAATCGCACATACTGGAGATAGCTAATGTTGGCTATAGTTAAAAATGATCTTACCTTGCTGTAAATCGTTTCCATTTTCAAAAATATCGCCGATCAAACATAACAACATTTTCTCGCATCTAAAAAATACAGAACTAGTGTTTATTTACTACCTATTTTTAATATACATGGGACATACCTAGTACTGCAGAAACGTGTTTTTCTTCAGGATTTTTCATGTAATATATATTTTATATGCTTTATTATCTTTATATTTATAGATTTCTGCCGAAATATCAAATTGAATTTACAAAACAAAACTAAACGGAGAGAATCAAAATGGCGTCGAAATTTGTTCTAGAACAAATCTGAAGTTGTCTCTGAAATCTGTCAATTCTAAACTGTGAAGTTAGACAATAGTTAGAGAGAAACATTGCTGTCCTTGTCTAGGCGGCCATACTTGTCGTCAGGAGATGACAGGAATGACACTAATGACTGTTTCCAATTTTCCTATTTCACTGTCACCCCCCTGGGTCTCCCTTGTCTTCTCGATTGACACGATGCACAGTGCTTCGAACATATGGCTCTAGAGGACAAAAATGCAAAACTTCTCTTTTAATGTAGGCAATTTATTCAAACTCGGTTTATTTGACACAAATGTACTCTCATTGTACTAAATGATGATGTTCTTAGTCCCAGGTTTATGAAAAAAAAATCTTATAAATAATAAAAATGTTGGAGCTGTGTTCCATCTAAGGAAATAATATTATTATATATTATTATATTTATTTATTTTTTCATACTATTTATAATATGAAAACGGTGTAAGTATTAAATAAATCCCTGAAAACGGTGTAAGTATTAAATAAATCCCTGTGATAAAAAAAAATTCGCATAACATTAGAACATGATTCCTACAATATAAACCTAATATAAGATAAAAATGTTTTTCTTTAATGAAAAAGAAGCATTAATGATATATTTAATTAAAAAAAAACTTAAGATACTATAAATTTACTTTAGGACAACAAAATGCATAGATCGTAACTACTCTGATTCAGAAGAATCATTGCTGACAGAACCTTCCAAATTTATAGTATCCAAATCACAGGTAGATGAAATATCCTCACATATAAGATATTTCTGTACATCATTTTCTAATATGTTACTTTTTCGCGTTGTTACTGTTCTTTTTGTTGGTATGAGGGGTTCGGATGTTAATAGTTACCTCTTTAATAGACCATATCCATATATTATTTTTTCGTTTTCTTTGGTATGAGGTTTTATAATAAATTGAAAGATGGAAACATTTTTTATGCCACATTTCGCTCCAACATAGTGAGCTCAGGCACAAGTGGTTATAAAATTGGACTGGAAGGTTCATCAATATCTAATAAAGAACACATTTTTTGAAATATAAATAATTTTGAGTTCTTGTCCTTATGATTAAGCCAAGTATTAACCAGATCGGCATTGCTTATCAATTTTACTCCATCTGAAAAGTATTAAAAAATAAAGTCCGTCGCAAGCGGACGCAGGTGAACTATACAAAAATTAAAAGTGTATGAATATGGCAACAAAAATATTCAATAAATACGATATGTTTTGATATGTTTTTTTTAATGACTTTTTGAAGTTTGAAAACGTAAAATTTTTATACCCATTTAAGAATCATCTTAAAAAATAAATAAAAACTAAACAATAACGAACTTGTTTAGAAATAAATTTAAAGTACATACCTTGTTTAACAATATCCATAGTGGCTTTCAATTAAGTGCATACCGTTTAACTCCATATACAGAACTACTATGAATGTTATTCTTTTTACTAATATAAGATAATGATCGCAAAATTTATTTTTAGTGAAAATATTTGCTAATAAAAAACGCTGTTTATGAAAAATAATATATAGGATGGTTGAACATTGCTATAAGTATAAAATTACATATTCAGATATTAGTAAATTTTAACTTTTTTTTCGATTTTTGTCCATGGGACGAAGCACTGTGCGATGCGGCGTTGGGGTAGAGAGACTAGTGAGGTACCCCAATTAGAGCTTATTCGATTGGGATGCGAATCTGTTTAGCGGCAGAGTTGCGTCCGGGGGAAGCCCCTATACTATTTCAGGTGACACTAGCTAGTTGTTGAAGATGATTAACCAATATATAACCGAATGATATTTGAATTAAATGGAAAATATGGAATGGGATATATTGAATAGAATATATCAGTGGCTAGGGGGCGGAGTACCCTCGGGTGAGTCTTACTATTTAACTATCAATTTTATCCAGATCAGTAAATGTTTGTTTTGTTATTTTCATGTACAATGAGAGAGTGCTTGCCAATGACCAACTAAATGGATATTTGAGGTGAATTTGCATTGTGAGACCCGGCTGAGTAAGCCCCAGAAATAAGCGATTTTACACATTTCTGGCAAGGATCTATTTTTATTGAAAATATATTTTCCACTCACTTTTTTAAACTAAACAAAAATATAAGTTGTAACGCAACGTAATAATAAAATAAAATTTTAGTCGACGGTGCTGTTCGCCTGGAGAGCATTATAGGGTGAGTAAGGTTTGTGCTCAAATGAGCGCCACTGAATCTACCTAAAAGTTAAATAACATTAAAGATTCAGAAAACTGTTATTAGGAAAAGATGTTTGCCAAGATGGAACCTCATTCATGCAATAAAACAAATACGTTTCTACTCTACTAAATCTAAATATATTAATTAAAATTAATGTTTGGTTATAAAATACGTTTGTTTTATAACAACCAAAAAAAAAACAATGAAATACGTTTAAATTTTGAAAATGAGGTTAAAATGTTATTTAAATTTGTAATTAAAGTATATAATTAAATTGAAAAGTTTATAATTAAGTGAAATATTACAGATGTTGAAAACTACTTATAAAAAAAATTAATAAAATTAAATCAGACTTTACTATCTATACCTTTTTATAGTGTACCCCAAAATAAAAGTATACAAGCCTGGGTAACTTATCCAACAACAGCAGTTGAGCACGGCAAGGTTGACCACGGTTGAACAGGTTGAACTCCAGGAACTATAGTTGCATCAGCAAGGCCACAAATCTTTGTTGAGTTGGAAAACAGGGCGAATGTCTCGACACCATGATGTGATCACGTGCACGTGAATGTAAAAAATAAACCCATCAAAGCAAGGAAGGAAAACCAGAAAAAATAAAAACCAGAAAGAAATAACCAAAACCCTGTGGACAATATTTAAATTAATATTTGTAGATTTTAGGTTATAAAAAAACGTAAAGCGTAACTAACAAGTCATCCAGCTAACATCGACAATTTAATTAACAAAATTAGTGGATCCATTCCAAAATTGTCCAAATCTAATGAAAATTATTAAGAATCAGAATTGAAAAGGTAAAAAACGTGAATAAGTGAATTTACCCCATATCTGGCCACATGGCACACCAAAAAACAAATTTATACTATTTTGCTTCAGGCCCAAATCTTTTTTAAAAACTTATAATATCAAACATCCAATAATTACGCTGGTAATCCCCACAGGAACCAACAGGCAAGGATTCCACCAATATGGCGATCGGAGGGAAAAGAACAATCATCGACCAAAATGAACCTCCAAAGATTTGACAATCCAGAAATGACATCAGAAAACGGAAGTTAGCGGCGTTGCCGTACTGACCAAATAAACAGGTATTTTGGGGAAAAATATTAGAAAGATAAATTGAAAAGAAACTGTCAACACTGCGTAGCTTACCCGCTACTGTTAAATACATATAAAATAATTATAAAGACATATTTAAATATTATAATGAATTAAGAGAAATTTATAAACAATTAATTAAAAAGAGAAAGAGCTATTATCACACCAAAAAACAAATCTATACCATTTTGCTTCAGGCAAATCTTTTTTAAAAACTTATAATATCAAACATCTAATAATTACGCTGGTAATCCCCACAGGAACCAACAGGCTACAGGCAAGGATTCCACCAAAAATGACGATCTCTTCCCGATCGCCACGCCAATATGGCGATCGGAGCGAAAAGAACAATCATCGACCAAAATGGACCTCCAAAGATTTGACAATCCAGAAATGACATCAGAAAACGGAAGTTAGCGGCGTTGCCGTACTGACCAAATAAACAGGTATTTTGGGGAAAAATATTAGAAAGATAAATTGAAAAGAAACTGTCAACACTGCGTAGCTCACCCGCTGCTGTTAAATAAATATAAAATAATTATAAAGACATATTTAAATATTATAATTAATTAAGAGAAATTTATAAACAATTAATTAAAAAGAGAAAGGGCTATTATCAAAAAAAAGGTAGCAAGTTTAACAAACATGATACAAAGTTAGTTAAAACAGAAGATTTTAGAAAAAAAATGAGTTTTTAATTTTTTTCATATTGTTCCACCACCTCAAAAAAATCTAAAAAATTCCTGACTGTAAAGAAGCATAAAAGACATTTTCTGGCGATTTTTAGTTAGTGACATATTTCAAACAGGTTAAAAAATGAAGATTTTAATTTTCTTTCCTCCGCTAAAAATCGGCTTTTCGTTTAAGGATCATGATCATATTATTTTTTCATGTCTTAGACTTCTAAGAATTAAAAAAAATCATCATTAATTAATTTTAAATTTTACTATAAAAATAAAAATAAAATTGAAAAAACACTTTTTTTGAAAATCTCGAACACCGTTTGAGTTAAAGGGCTAAAAATTTAGGTGAATTATTTTGATTCGACACGAAATCGATCCCTTGAGCATACCATTTATTGAAATTAGAAATCTTACCAAGCCCATTCAACTATCACAAGTAAAACTAATATTTTAAGCACAGTATTCATAGTGATGGCTCGAAACCATAACTTGAATGCTCTTTTTTTATTAGGTATTTGTTTAAATACACTCAAAATGAAGCGACTAAGTGACCACCTTCATACATCACATCCCGTGTATATATCTTTCCTTTTCTATTACACTATAACAAAGTAAGCCAAACATATCAAAACTGCTTTAGTTTGTTTCTCATATACTCTGTCTGTTGAGCTTATAAGTTCAGATTATGGTCAAGTAAAAGTGAATAAACCATATATAACTAAAATTTCCATCTCTTTTTGTTCTATTAAGCTGAATGGGTTATAAAAATGAATCGAATATAGTTGATTAAATGTCGAAATGAACAGGAGCTTGTTAAAAAAAGTGGGGTAATAAAACTTCCTGGCTGTGGCGTACGTGTTGAAACCTGCAAAGAGTCAAAGATTACTTTTAATTGTGTCACGAAGATTGCATTTATATCTATGGTATGTTCATTTATTCCTTTCTGTTGACTGATAACAATCCAGTGTTTGGTAGATATATAGAAAAATCAATAAAAGTTGGCTTGCACGTCATCAAAATATTTGACGAATTTATGTCGCAATGTTGTCATGGCTACGTTTTTTACTTTGAAAAAAAATCATAATATTGTCGCTGATTAATTGTAGACACAATGCGTATACAAATATTTGGGTATAATTATTAGAGAAAGACATGTCTTAACAATGTCTCACCTCTTAATGATTTTCGCATTAGCTTTGAAACACCCTGTATACGCGGTGTCCCAGGCTAAAGGTGCATCAGAAGTGTCTAGAGAACTACAATATCTAGATCGGAGATTTTTTGGGCATTGTTGTTTCACATTGAGATCTATCAATTAAAATTTTTTACAATATGGCGACATTTCCCGATATACCGGAAGTTGACAGTAACTTTCTTATTTTAATTGCGTACCCTATTTTTTATTAGATATTTAAATTCTCTGTAAAATTTTATGAATTCTAAAAAAATGTCTATATCTATGTGGCGGATTCATCTTTCCAAAAAAATCCTTTATGGGTATTTCGCCACTGCACTGCAAGAAAAATCTACAAAATAAAATAGTTATTTTTTGTAAACACTTCTGGCGTTAAACCTAAATGGACGCTGCTTGTCATATGAATTCTGATATGAAGTACTATATGTATATATATGTATATATATATATATATAAACGGGATTTGGTTTAAGTATTTAATACTCATTTCCAACTACAGCCTATTGCTGCCTTCTCGTTACCCTACGCCACACATCTCGACTTAGAGCGTCATCAGCTTCTAGGTTACGAGCTTCCATTGCTTCCGTAACCGTTCCGTTCCAGGATTTTCTAGGTCTACCTCTCTTTCTTCTGCCCTGGGGAGCCCATTGAAAAACTCTTTTTGGCCACCTGTTCTCCGGCATACGCAGAACATGTCCAAACCATTTCAAGCTGGATTTTTCGATTCGATCCAGTACTGTCTCCTCCGATGCATTCATGATACGCCTGATCTCGATGTTTGTCTTTTTTTCCATCCTAGATATACCTGCACTTCTTCTAAGGTAGTCCATTTCAACAACTTGGATTTTGCGCTTCGCGTCTGCACTCAGAGTCCATAGCTCTGAACCATAGCAAAGAACTGACTCCACCAATGTTCTTCCAAGTCTCTTTTTAGTTGTTAAGACATCCAATAACTTGTTTGCTCTTCTGAATTCGGGTTTGTATTTCTACTTTGCCCAAACCCTCGTTGTTGATAGTAGAACCCAGGTATTTAAATTTGTCTGCTTGTTGAATCCGGACGTTATCATTAATGAAGACTTCAAAACAAGCATTGGAATTGACAGCTAAGTATTCGGTCTTCTTTAGACTAACCTGAAGTCCCCATTTGTTGTATTCTTGATAAAGCCTCTTAGTCATGAACTCTAGATCGTATGAGTACTGCGCAATCACGACCTGATCGTCTGCAAAGCTCAGGGTAAATAGTGTGTTGTCCTCAATGGGTATTCCCATACCTTGACATTTCGTCTTCCATTCCCTAAGGACTACTTCGACGTAAGCGTTGAAGACAGAGGAGATAAGCTGCATCCTTTGTCGCAACCCTTTGTGGTGTTAATTGGATTAGATAGCCTGTGTCCTATCTTAACGTACGATTCATTTTCTTTATATAGCTCTTTTATTATCTTAAGCAAAGGTCTATCTACTTCTAAGATATTCAATACTTCCCATATCTTGCTGCGGGGAATAGAGTCTTCTCTTTCGCTTATCATTAAAGTGCCTGCAAGGTTGTTCTCATCTTCTACTGCTTGGAATTCTGGTCGGTTTTCTATCAGTAATTCTGCATAGTAGTTGCGCCATTTTTCTATATCAATTCTATTCAAGAGCTTGTCCGTTTGATTGGTTTTCATTTGTCGGATTGTTCTCCATACCTCAGTACTCCGTGCGCCCCCTATTAGGCTTTCCACTTGCTGGCACCTTCTTTCCCAAATATCTGTTTTTCCTACCTTAATGGCGGCTCGTACCTCTCTATTTTTTTGCTTGTAATGACTCCAGTTAGTATCTGTTCGGTCTGAGAGCCATCTTTGATAGAATTTTTGTTTGTCATTGATTAAGGCCTTTATGCTGTCAGTTATCCAAGCTGGTCTTACAACTAAATCTTAAATAACTTAAAAACGATTTATTTTAGGTATAGGAACACGTGTAACGCTCACTCTGAATCTGTCTGTGCGCGAGCAGCCGCGAACGTGAGCCGTTTGGTGTCGATTTTTGGTCCGTGTTCAAAGGGATTTTATGTGTGCGCGAACGCTCAATTTGCACCGGCACACAGTGTAACGAAAACTAAAATAGTAGGACATTGGCATTTTTCTTCAGTTATCACTACTCCTGCTGAAATTTTTTGACAGAAATTAAATAATACGACTAGGAATTTTTGCTACAGGGCGAAAAGAGTAAAAAAAAGCGTAATGGAAGGTCAAAAAAAATACGAAGTTTTATAAAAGGACTTTACAGGTATATTTTTTTTATTTACGAAGAGTTTATAGCTCTTATGGACCAAAAATGTTATCCAATTACTGTTGAACAATCATTTATCTCCCGCTAATATGTCAAAACTCAATCAACATTCCTAAATATTCAAATAATCAGGGATAAATTAGATAAGACTGCAAAACTCAAAGAGAACGACACAAGAGGCAAATATCTTTTGACAGTATTAAATAATATGATAATATGCGAAAAAAACGTATTCAACTTCAACAAAGGAAACCATAATACACACCTCACAAAAAATTTCGCAACACTTATATTTTTCGTAGTATTTATTCTTAAAACGCTTCAAACATTTTTATGTGAAAAACTTAAATCTAAGATCTGCCTGAGTTATGATATACTTTCCATTCCTTAACAAGTTGCTATTAAAATGCAAATAACTTTTGAGATTATTGTTAACCAAGAGAATTTAAGAGTACTTTGTAGTCTTCCAAATTAATAAGTGATGCGATAATTTATGTGGGGTGTATAATATTCCAAATTAACATAATATGTAAGGCACTTACATAAAACATGCTTAAAAATCATTCTCAATTTCTTCTCCATCCATATACAAGAGCTCTTTCGCTTCCGGAAACAAGTCTACTTTTTTATTTTTAGAGTGCTTTGGTCGCAGATGTGAAAGTAGCGGATCTGAATATATCAATAAGTTGTGCAATATATCTTCAATAGTTTCCTTACGACCACTCTTCCTGGAAAAATTTTGGCGGAACGATCGAAATACTTTGTTTCTTGATTCAGATGCTTCTTCGGACATTTTGCCGATGGGTATAAATTGGAAACGTTCACAGATATCTGCACCATGAATCAAAAGCATATGAATGCTTGGAGGCATATAATACCAACCGTAAAGGGAAACCAATAGTTCTGCTGTCTCTTTCAGGTCACCAAACTACGGTCGAATCAATGGAAAACGTAATTATTGCCGAAGAAATTTATTTTTTTCTTCCAGGTTCGGATCTAGGTGGATGAAATTTATATGCAACAGTATACTAGAAGGTTTACTCTATGATATTTTGTATATATAACTTTGCGCGAATGTAAGCGTTTTTTTGAAAGCCATAATAAACATGTAGAAACTAGACTTGAAAAAAATTGGGACATTTTTTTCAGGTTTGTTGTTGGTAAAAGACCTCTCTTTGTGGAAAAAATTGTTGGAATTGAACAACATAAGAAAACTTGTGAAAATAATAAATTTCATTGTATGAAATTTTTGTACAGATTTGGTAAATTAAGGAAACCATAACTTTAACCCGCCATAACTCCCCGTGAAGAGGTCAACTCAAGAAATATTTCACATGGTGGAGCTCTGAGATGTCCTTTATCCATCTATATAAAAAACTTGATGAATGAAATTTTTGTTTTTTGGGCTAATGTCCCGCATTTCCCGATTTCGTTATACTGTGCGGCAATTTGGTTTGCCTTCGTTCATGCGTGCGTGTGAAATTTTTTTTTGTTTTCTTTATTAAAATTATGGAGTGGATCAATGAATCTTCGTTATTATTAATTGAAGAATATGAAAAGTTGCCTATATTATGGGATGTTAAACATTCTTCTTATTATTAAAAAAAAAACGCAGGGCAAGACCTTTTAAATAAAATTAATATTGAGTATGTCGATATTAATGAAATTAGTATTCTAAAATTTGTATCTTTTGTTCGTAATTTTTGGTGTTATTAAATTTTGTAAATATTCAAAGTCGGGCCTGGTCATTCTTGTAAAGTTTTGAACTGATCATAGCCCTCCTCAGACACTAAGTTGTGGCAGTAAATTATATCGATTTCTAAAAATTTGGGTTTGCCATCAGCGACGCCGACGATATTTTCGATTTTTCTTCTTTTTAATAATTAAGCTGTGCATAACAATGACTGCAGCCCCGACTATTTCTTGGTCGTCCATTATTTTCGCCAACACAACTCTGCTGTGCGCGCACAATTGGATCACTTCATTCGTCGAAAAATAAGTTTTTAATTTGGACGGAGCCGAGAGT